TTTTCCTCGTGAGTGTGTCTACTTTATTCTGCATTCACATTCATTATTGACGTCAATGACATAAGTTTATATTAATTGTCTGCCTCTTTTGCTAATGCTCATATTTTAGCAAGTTTTGACAATAAAGTCTCCTTTACCAGTAAATGTTCATCCAGGCAACAGGTCCATGTGATTAGGCAACACATATTGACTGAGCAACTCCGTATGTACCAGACATCATAGTAGGTGCTAGAGACACCATGGTAAATAAAACATATACACTGTCTTTAAAAAGCAAATGAGATGGGGAATAAAAACACATTGAGAACCTTTGAGGAAGGAGGGTCCCCATAAGCCTACTCTTCTCTGGTTGTTCGTTTTTTGGGAAATTACACCACACTTCACCCAGTTGCTCAGATCAAAAATTCTACAGTGACCTTTGATTCTTCCCTTTTACCCAACCCATCAGCAAATCACGTTGCCTCCATCTTCAAGACGTATTTAACCACTTCTTTCCTCCTCCATCACTCCCACCCGAACTAAACCATCAGTACATGTCACCTGAAAGACGGCAATGTTATTGCAATAACAGTTAATCTGTTTCTACTTTTGTCCGCCTAACAGTCAATCCTCCGCACAGTGTCAGTCAGATTCAAACACAAATTGAACCCTGTCCCTGCCCTGTTTAAAATCTTCCAATGACCAGGATAAAATCTAAAACCTTTATCATAGGATTGATATAGTAGCCATTTAATTTCAAAGAACACATGGTCTCCCTTTGAAGACTCATGGTAAAACACACTTAATACTTGTAATGGGTAAAAAAAAAATTCATTTTAATTCAGGTATATAATCTCTCTTGATTTATCTGTAATCCAAAAATCCAACATTTTTTATTCATCAACCTTTCCAAAAGTAACTGAAGCAAGCAACAGTAAAGATTAATTTAATTTAGAGATAAACTGATATAATAGTATATAACAAAATAAAATATATTTTTTCAAACATCTTGCTAAGGTTACTTTGGTTGGTGGTGTAAGAAATGAGTCTAAGTTTATAAAGTTAAAGTTTATAAAGTTTGAGTTTACAAAATGAGATTTATCCTCCAAAGATTTTACTCTAACATTCCTCATAAAATAAAGCAATTATATACAAATGAATTCAGAGCTACAATTCTGTTGGTGAAAATTCATAAAGGGGTCCAAGTAAAATCTGGACCCATAACAATACGTTAGAAAGACTTATTAAACTGACTTTCAACAGTAGGAAGATTGTAGGTCAATGTTTAAAGAAACATTTTAATAAGATCTGTAGTTCAGTTAATACTGTACTAATATCAGCTTGCCAGGTTCAATAATGTCAATGATTATGTAAGATCTCATCAGGGACTGGTGAGTAAAGGGTACATGGGAACTCTGTACTATTTTTGCAACTCCTTGTGAGTCTTAAATTGTTTTACAAATTGTTAAAAGGTTAAAAAACAAATTATCCATAAAATGAATACATTATGCTAATTATATACATCATTCATGCAAACTCATGAAAATACTACTCCTCAGGACTGATCCTAAGTAACTTTGTTTTGAATATGATTTTGTTTTTAATATTTGTAATATGTAGAACACGAGCCCAGGAATCAGACAAACCATGGTAAAAATTCAGCCTCAGGAACTCCTAGCTTTATAAACTCGGAAATTTCATTTAACTTCTCCAGCCTCAGTTTTCATATCTGTAAAATGCAGGTGCTAAGACCTAACTTACAGCACTGAGAGATTTAGATGAGATCATGTACGTAACATACTGGGTATTTGCCTGACACAGAGTAAGCCCACAGGACAAGAACTCAGTGAGTGGGAGCTAGTTAATTACTATTGATAGTTTTAATTAATAAAATTGAGTTTCTTTCAAAATAGCCTGTAGCTCAGATCCTGAATGAGGTTTTTAACACATCCTTATAAGAAAAATCCATTCATACGGCTCCTGCCAAATTCCAACTCGCTAACCTTATAATAATTAGAGATTCTTATTGATCCCGGTTGGAAGTGCATACCTCACAAACCCTTTTGCATAAAAAGGCACTTCAGACTCAACATGATCAAATCTGAACTCATAATCTTTCCCCCCAGATTTAGTCCTCTCCTAGTGAGTGGTACCTAACCTTCCATCTACGCAGCCCAGAACCAAGAAAGCACCGCACCCCCACTTCATCTCAGAAATGTTATCTCCTCTCCGTGTATCTGCCCACTTCTCTCCGTTGCCACTTCAGCTCCTGACTAAAAGCTACACCATCTCCTGCTTGCATCTCCTAAGTGGTGTCCCCACGCCCGTTTTTGACCCTTCCTGTTGTCTGCATTGCACATACAATGATTTTTTTTAGATAAAAAAATGTGGTTATCGGTGCTACCTCCCACCCATACTATCCTCTTAGAAACCTAAAACAGCTCCACAGTGCTCGTAAGAGGCTAAACACTGAAATACTTGGTATCACCGATGAATATGGCCCTGCCCCAGATCTGCCTCCTAGGACCCCTGCCACACTTGGACGGTTCTCTCCTCATTAGCCCTCTTGGCCTTCTCTCCAGTCCCTCATGTTCTCCGTCCTTCCTCCCACCACAGAGTGTCCTCTTGGGCCTTTGCCTCTCAGCCACCTGGGCTGACTCCTCCTTCTAGGATGACTCCCTGTCATTGTCTCCCTGAGCCCCAAGTTTTGTATCAAATTGCCGTCTTCACATCTCTGTCTGGTAGCACTTTCCTGCCATCGCCCGCCCTGACAAGTCTGCTCCTCTCCCCGTCTTCCCTCCATCGCGCACCAGGTTGATCCATCCAAACACTTGAAGGACTCGCCTCACATCAACATTCAATCAACCCATCAGCAGGTCCACTCAGCGCCATTTCTTCTCTCCATTTCCACTGTCTCCCCCACAGTCCTAGACACCGTGACTTTTGGCCTCAACTGGCCTCCTGATATCCTAGCTTCTGCTCTGGTCTCCATGATCCATCATCTCCCCAGCAGCCAGAGTGGTTTTCAAAACAGATCGGATTTCATCAATTTCCCCGCGTAAAACCTTTCAGTGATTTTCCCTTTGCCCTCTCACACCTAAACACAGTATCGCGGGACTGGGCATCTGTAATGTCATACAGCTCTACCCTCTGCTTGCTCTGGTCCAGCGATAGAGATCTTCCTTCTGGTCCCCATCCCCCAGAGGCCAGCTCAGAGACAATGCTGTGTGTCCCTCCTTCCCCGTGCTCATCAAACAGGTGAGCCCTCTTACCATTCAGATCTCAGCTTAAATGTCCCTTCTCCAGAAAGATCTTCCCTGTCCATTCGCTATAAAAGGGTGCACCTCATACTCCCCAGCTACCTTGGAGCACACCACTTTGTTAATTTCCTAACATGCACATTTTATAATCTATAACTCTGTCGTTTATATTTCTGTATTTGCTTCTTTATTGCCTATGTCTCTCCACCAAGATACGACAGCCCATACGACAGCTGTCTCTTCAAATTTGTCTCTAGGTCTGCAGTGCTGACAACAACCCCTGGTACAAGGTAGATACTCATCGGATGTTTGTTGAATGACTGAACGGTGCTTGCTCTGGCGAGAGCATTCTTTACACACACACACTGCCCCCACTTTTAATGAAGGCCCCCTCAACTCTCAGGTCCCACCTCTGAAATCACTTTTCAGGGGAGCCTTCTGTAACCACAATGACTGCCTCAAGTTCTCATGTTCTCAGAATCCTATGTAGTCTTTCTTCATAGCACTTATCGCAGATGTAATTTTACATTTACTTTATATTTATTTGATTAATGTCCGGGGGCAGAGACCATGTCAATTTTCACTTGTTACGGTGTCTTCAGGTCATAGCTTAATATTTGACACACTGTTAGAATTCACAAAAATTGTGCGAAATAAATATATAACAATGCTAAAATAACTACAAATGTAACAACTACTCTTTGATGACGTAAAGCACAACAAAGCAGTTGCTAACTACCATTTCACCAAGAGGGATCCTTGCTGTGCTGTGTGCCCTTCCAGACTCTTCTCTGTCCAATACATGCATACATAAATATTATTTTATATTATTTACAAGACTACACTAAAACATAATACTTTCTGCCCCACCTCCTGAAAGCTCACATCTCTTCCCCTTAGTCAACTTGGAATTCACTCTTTTAACTTTTGTCAATTTAAAATTTTTAAATGGCATTTAATTTTTGTTTAATTAATATTTATTTCAGGTCTAGTATAGAAGAACACTTTCCCATATGTTCACTAGTCAGATGTATAACTTCTTTTGAGATTCATGTATTCAAACTCTTTAGCAATTATTCTTCTGATATGTTCCTACTGGTTTTTTTCATTCCTAAGGGTTCTTCACATATAAAAATACTAGCCTTCCATTTGTATTATTATATATTGCAAATATTTTCTCATTGGTCACTCACCCTTTCATTTGGTAATTGACATGCAGAAATATTAATTATTTTACATTGTCAAATCTATTATTTCTTGCTGTTATGGTGGTTTGTATTTCTTGTTACAATCAGACAAGTACTTCCTAGTTTAATATTACATAGTATTTACTTAAATGTTCTTCAAATAATTGTACGGTTTTTTTTTTACCTTTAATTCTTTTAAACCCATTTATAATTTAAAGTGTAAAGTAAGGATCTAATCTTATATTTTTCCAAAGCATTGACCAATTATTCCATCACAAGTTTTCAACTAAATTGAAATGCTAACTTGTTCCAGTTCTAAACAGTAATACACACCTGGGTCTATCGCTCAGTAGTCTTTTCTGTTCAAGTGCCAATAACAATAAAGTAATTACTCATATTAAAGGTATATATATATATAGTAATAGCTGGTAATGTTTGGCTACCTTCAAGTGTTTATTGTTCCAAAAGGCTTAGATTTAATGAGTCAGATTCCAAATGTGTGTAATTGGCTTGTGATTAAAGTTGCATTAGATTTGACATGTTTAAAATATTGAGCCTTTCCACTTATGTTATGCATCACCATTTATT